AAATTGTTCTCGTCAGATTTTTCAGTCACAGTAGCAACAAAGCTAACTAAAACAATAGCTGTAAGAAAAAGGAAGTCCCAGAAAATGTCTGATCACTATTGGTGGCATAAATAATGATGAGGACCAAATTACTTTGCTTTGTGGCATATTAATAGGGCTTAATAAAAGTCACAGATGGGGCAAATGTATTTCATCAGGTCAGAATGTGATCCTTGGCCAACTGTGGGCTGAGAGTCGCTTAAGTGACACCATCAGGAAATGGCAGAGTTAGGATTTGAAATCCAGCATTAGAGAATGTGATGATGTGACACTATTACTACCTCACAGTGCCTGTTCACTTAACTTCCTGGCATGTCTGTCACCCTCTTTCATTGTTCTGCCATCCATAGATAAAGTCACGTGCTGGGATGTTGTCACTGGGATCTGGGAGGAGAGAGACAGTAAGGGATGGACAGCCACTGTGATCAACTCTCTTTGGTTGGCAAGTCAGGTGCATCTTATTTGGCCTTACCCAAAAGCAGAGCCTGAGACAAGTATTTGAGAACAGATGTTTTGTTCAGGAGAGGATTCCAAAGAGCAGAAGTGAGAGAGGAGTGAGTGAGAGACAGGGATGGAGAGAAAAAACATATAAGGGCTCATTATCAGGATCCAGTTGGAACTGGACCTTTTAAGAAACATAAGGAATGCCAACAGTCACCGGAAGCTGAAAGAGGCAAAGAATAATTCTCCCTTGGAGCTTACAGAGGGAGTCCAACTCTGCTATCACCTTAATTTCAGACTTCTGGCCTCTAGAAATGCAAGAGGATAAATTTCTGTTGTTTTAAGACACCCAGTTTGTGGTAATTTGTTATGGCAGCTGTAGGGAACTTATATACTAGATGTTTGCTAGTCCTTCAAATTTGAAAAGAGAGAACCATTGCCTTGGAGAGAGTGGCATAAAATATTACTTAAATAATTAAAATAATTATTATGTAGTAATAGCCTTAGTGGAAGTGTGTGCAAAGCTATGTGGGAGTGAAGAATGGCTTATACAATGAGATCACATAATAGTACAGAACCATACAATGATTAAAAGAGCTGCCTGGGTTCAATTCCTGGCCCACTACTTACTCCACCATAAATAGCTGTATATCCTGATTAAGTTGGTTAACCTATCTGGGCTTCAGTTTCCCAACTGTAATGCAGGGATGGCAATAATGGTACTTTTTTCATATGGGGTTTTATTGAGAGTTGAATGAGATAATACATTTAAAATCCTTAGAAAAAAAATAATTCCTGGTAGGCACTCAGTAGATACTATTCAGGAAGAACTTTCATGCAATAAGGTATTCTTTGTCATAGTGTCCCTGATAGTGTGCTACAGGTGGATTCTGATCAAGTCTGCTGGAAAACTGGAAAGGAGAAACAAATTTTGTTGATATCATGGAGAAGAAGAATCTTATGGAAAAACCTTCATGAAGTTGTTTATGAATCTCTGGTATTTTCCCAGACCTGTGTGTTAATGCATGCAATCTCAAACTTCATATTAAAAACGTTTGAGAAATTAATGAAGACATTGACCAATGTACAAGCACAACACTGGCTATTGGGTTGTGCACCCATGAACTAGGGCTCACTTGTGTGGCAAAAGTATTGCAAACAGAACCAGAAATGAAATCACAACCTATACAGGGATGGTCAGAACTTGCAGACTGAACACAACTAGGTCAATTCCTGACAAGACAAACAAAGGAAAAGAAAAGAAAAGACAAATACAAATGTGCTTCATAGGATATAAACAAGACCCAGAATTCAATAACATAATATTCAATACATCTAGAATATAATGCCAAATTGCACAGCATACAAAAAAGAAAGATATAATGCTGAGAAAAAAGAAGCTAAAATTGTCAGACTAAGATTTTAAAATAGCTTTCTTCTTTCTTTCTTTCTTTCTTTCTTTCTTTCTTTCTTTCTTTCTTTCTTTCTTTCTTTCTTTCTGTTTTGGGGATTGAACCCAGAGTCTTGCACATGCTAGGCAAGCATTCTATTACTGGGCTATAACCCCAGCCTCTTAAAACAGATATAAAATTCTCAAAGAAATAGAGGTGACCACTGTTGAGACAGATGGAAATTTTGGAAGTTTCAACAACAACAACAACACACACACACACACACACACACATACATAGACAGATTCATATATGGATATAGAAGATATGAGGTGTCTGCATATAGAGCTCCTGTGTGAATACCCAAATGGTTAGAAGTGAAATGATTAGATTATTAGAGTTATAAATCAACCAGTAGATTAGCCCATTTGATGGATTAATAATTTTAAAGAGCTACTATAATGGGTGGTAAACCATGATCCCCAAATAAACTTTTCTTCTCCAAGTGGTTCTTATCAGGTTATTTTGGTCATGGCAGTGGAAAGATACAATATAATATATCTATAATATATACATATATCTCAGTAGAAAATTTAAAATTAAAAACATAAGAAAACCTCACTGGGTGAGCTTAATAACACAATGTAGACAGTGGAAGACAGGAACAACAGAAATTAACCAATCTGAATAAAAGAGAAAAATATGGAGAATATGAACAAACTCTCATGAACCTATGGGACAATATCAAAAAGTCTAACAATTATGATATCAAAAAAAAAAAGAAGAGGAGGGGCTACGGTTGTGGCTCAGCAGTTTGATCCTCAGCACCACATAAAAACAAATAAATAGGAGACCCCCTTCATTATACAGAATACAGGTATGACGATGTGAGGGAAAAAAAAAGAAGTGGATCACATTAGATTGGGTAGAGAGAAGTGATGGGAGGGGAGGGGAGGGGAAGGGGGGAAAGGAATGACGTAGAATAAAATAGACATTATTATTGCTGTGGGTATATACGTGACTGCATGACCAATGTGATTCTGCAACCTGTATACTCAGAAAAATGAGAAATTATATCCCATCTGATTCAAATGTATGATATGTCAAGATCATTGTACTGTCATGTGTAACTAATTAAAACAAACAAACAAACAAACCCAAATAAATAAAATAAAGGTATTGTGTTCAACTACAAATAAAACTAAATATAATAAAAGAAGAGGTGAAAGAATTCTATGTTGAAAAATATTTGAAGAAAGCTTGCCCCTAAACTATTCTAGTTTGGAAAAATACATAAATTATAAATTCAAGAAAATGAGCAAACCTCAATAAAATAAAACTAATGAAATCCATAGCATAATAATCAGACTGAGAAAAACTAAACAGAAGGAAACACAAAAATCACCTCTCAAAGTTGAAAAATAATGCATTGCTTATAGGGTAACAATGATCTGAATGACTGTGGATTTATTCTCAAGAACTCTGGAGGCCAGAAGGAAGGGATACAATATTTTTCAAGTACTGGAAAAAAGAATGGTTAACCTGAATTCTATATTTAGTAAAACTACTTTTCAGGGCTAAAAGTAAAATAAAGATATCCTCAGATGAAGAAAACTTTTATTGCCAGAAGAACTGTTCTAAAATAATCTCTAAAGAAATTTCTTGAAAAGGAAGGGAGATATTACCAAAAGGAAGCATGGAATATTAGGAATGAAGTAAGAAAATCAGGAATGCTAAGTGTCAAATGCTTATTTACTACTATTAAAAAATCTTTGCTGAGTAAAAGTTGTGTGTGGTGGTATACCAGCTACTCCGGAGACTGAGGCAGCAGGATCATTTGAGCTTAGGAGTTTGAGATCAGCTTGAGAAACATAGCAAGACCCTGTCTCAGAAAAAAAAAAAATCACTGAATAAATAAAATTAAACATTTCTCTTTACTTGAATTTTTATAAAGTTTGAAAATTAATGAAAAAATTATAACATTTTATGATAGTATCTGCTATGTTATTAGATATGAAATATAAGATAATTATAATATAAATGTGAAAGGATAAAGGAGTATGCTGCAGTCTGGCTGGGCACAAATCACGAGCCACTGAAGCAGGAACAAACTTTATTTCTGAACTCCATCAGCACACTCCACACACGCTCCCCAGGAACTCTCCGGAACGCCCACACACGTGGCCTTCTCCTGGGACACACCACACACCAACCGGAAATCCCTCCTCCAGCACTTCCCCAACCAATGAGAAGTCTCCGGGAATCCCCGTGAGAACTCCAAAGTAGCCTGCCTAGGTGGACAGTAATGGCTCGCCTCTCAACCAATACTGTTGGCAAAATGCCAGGGGCCATTCCGACTCGGCTGTGGCTCTCAGCAGGATTACTAGTAAATTTCTACATTCCACTTAAAGTGGTCAAATATCATCTCTAATTAGGGTGGGAAAAGTTAAGTATGTATATCCTAATACCTAGAGAATTCAGTCAAAAGTTTGTACAAAGAGATAGTCAATGGAATAGAGTACCTAAAATATAACCAAAAATATTAAAATAACCAAAAGAAGACAGGCTAAAAGAAATAGGAATTAAAAAAAACAAACAAAAAACAACAAAATGGTATATATCATATTGACAATTACATTAAATAAAAGTGACCCAAACACACCAATTAAAAGACAGAGATTGTCATAATGGATTTTCTAAAATGACCAAACTCTATATTGTTAACAAGAAACTCATCTCAAATATAATGCAGAGCAAGGTTAAAAATGATAGAAAAATATATACACTAATCACTACAAAGGGGAAGTGGATATACTAATATCAGAGACTTGAGAGCAAAGTAAGTTACAGAGGGGAGACATTACATAATGATGAAACAACCAATTGTTGAGAAAACAAAAGACTGAATGTTGTCTCTGATATGCAGATGCTAACACACAATAAGCGGGGTGTTTGGGGCAGGGAAAAATAGAAGTTTACTGGATTAGACAAAGGGGAATAAAGGGAAGGGAGGAGAATGGGAATGGGAAAGAAAGCAGAATGAATTGAACATTACTTTCCTATGTTCACATATGAATACACAACCAGTGAAAGTCCACAACATGTACAATCACAAGAATGGGTACTTACACTCCATGTGTGTGTGATAGGTCAAAACACACTCTACTGTTACGTATATCTAAAACAAAACAAAACAAAACAAAAAAGAACCAATTGTTGGGAAGACATAACACTAAAAGCATATGCAAATAATAATATAACAATAAATGATGTAAAGCAAAAACTAACTCACCTGAAAGAAAATATAGACAAATCCACAATTATAATCACAGTCTCTAGTACTCCTTCTCTACAGTCAGGACACTAGACACAGAAAATAAGCAAGAATATAGAATAAGTGAAGTACCCCATCAAATAACTGGATCTAATTGTCAGTTTTAGAAAATTTCACCGAAAATCAGCAAAATACATATCATTTTCAAGTAAACACGGAATAAAATAAACATGTAAACATGAATTTTAACAGATTTAAAGGATCTGAGATCATACAAAGTATGTTCTTTGCTCATAATGAGTTATACTTTAATTCTCTGAAATTAAACTATCACTCATTAACAGAAAGCTAAGAGGAAAATTCTCAAAAACAGTTGAAAGGTAAGCACACACTCCTAAACAATGTCTCAGACAAAAATCAAGTGCCAAGGAAAATTACAAATTATTTTAAACAAAACATAAATGAAAATACAACATTTAAAACCTGTGGGATATAGCTAATGCAATACTTCAAGACGAATTTATACCATTAAAAAGAAGGAAGGTCTAAATTAATAATCTAAACTTACATCTTAAGAACCTACAAAAAGAATGAAGTAAAGGTAACACAATCAGAAGAAACTAATAGAGACAAAACTCAACAAAAGTGAGAGTATAAAAACAATAGAAAAAAATTAATAAAACTAAATCTGTCCTTTGAAAGGTTTACAAAGTTAATAAACCTATACCAAAATTGACAAAGAAGTAGAAAAATAATTCAAATTACAAATATTAGAAATTAATGAAGGGATATTACTACAAATCCAATTGGCATTAAAAAGTAACAAGGGAATACCAGGAAGAACACTACCTACATGGATTTGAAAACTTAGATGATATAGCCCAATTCCTTGCAAACCACAAATTATCAAAATTTACCTAAGATGAAACAAATAATTTGTGCAACTTATAAACTATCAAATAAATTAAATTCATAGCTAAAAACCTCCCCCAAGAGAAAGCCTAAATGGTTTCACTAGAGGATTCTACCATACACAGGACATAAAACTAACTTAATACAATATCTTCTAGACTGTAGACAAATATGGAACACACCTAAGTTCATTTTGTGAGGCTAACATTACTTTGATACCAAAACCAGAGAAGGCAATACAAGAATAGAAAACTATTGCTATGATTTATATATGTCTTATCCCTCAAATATTCATGTGTGGGAAGCTAGGTCCCATTTTTGAGACTAGGTAGAATCTTTAAGAGGTGGACTTAATGGGAAGTAATTAGGTCATGGGGGCATCACACTTAGGAGGGACTGATGCTCGTTTCATGAGAGTAGTTAGGTCTCATGGGACTGGATTAGTTACTGTGAGAGGAGGTTGTTATAAAGCAAAGCCATTGCAAGTGTTTAACCAGTCCCCATTTTCTTCTCGCTACATTTTCAATACTCTCACCAAGTGATGATACCATCTACTATATTATAAAGTGGCATAAGGCCTTCACCAGAGATGGCTGCTGGAGCATGGACTTTTCATCCTTCAAAACTGTGAGCCAAAATGAACTTTTTTCTTTATAAATTTGCCAGCCTCCGGTAAATTGTTACAGCAGTTAGAAAATGGACTAAGAGTGCTACATGAGGAAAAGGCATAAATATCCTCAAAAAAGTATTACATAAACAAATTCAGTAATAATAATAATATAAATGAATGCACTGCAACTAAGAGGGCTTAAACCTGAAAATGAAAACCTTGTTCAGTATTCAAAAAACAAATATTCCAATAATAAACCATATGATCATATCATTTAATGCATAAAAGACATTTGACAATATTTAAAAATCCATTCGTGGTAAAAGAGCTCTCCACACACACTAGAAATTAAAGGAAACTTCCTTAGCCTGATAAAGGGCATTGACAGAAAACCTATATATAATACCCTTAATGGAGAAAGACTGAATGCTTTTCTGTATGATTAGCAAATAAGCAAGGATGTCCACTCTTACTGCTCCTACTCATCAACAAGGTGATAATCAGCAAGTTCAATAAAGCAAGACATACAAATGAAGAAGAAAGAAATAAAACTGCCCCTCTTTGCAGATAATATTATGCTTCATTTAAAAAACCTGAAAAAATCAAAACTCCTAAAGAAATACATGAGTTTAGGAGAGTTGAGGGGTACATGGTTGAAACAAAAATCCAATCATATTTCTATGTATTTGCAATGAATATTTGGAAATTGAAATGTAAATAATACCATTTCTAGAGGTTCTACAGAAAATGAAACACTTAAGTGTGAATCATAAAATATCATACAGTACTGTTTAAAAACACTCTACCATAATGAACCAAACGTGGAAACTACCTAAATGTCCTTCAAAAGGTGAATGGATAAATAAATTTTGTCATTTCCAAGCAATGGAATATTATTCAGTGACAAAAGGAATTTGTTAATGAGAAACAAAATAATTTGTACAACTCTCAAAGGCTGAGTGAACAAATCAAGTCTTTTGGTAACATACCATGTGATTCCACTTTTTATGATATTCTCTAAAAGAAAAAAACTGTAGTGATAGGAAACAGATCAATGGTTGCCAGGAGAGAGAGGAGAGGGCAAGAAGTGACTGCAAAGGGATTTCATGAAAGAGAGTTTTGGAGTCATGATAATGTTCTGCATTTGGATATTGGTGATGGTTACATGAATCAAAACATCTGTTAAAAGTCATAGAAATGAGTGTCACACAAAATTTTACATCTTCTATATGTTAATCTAAAAAATAAAATTAAAATAGAAAACTAAGGAAAAGGATACTGGAAAGATGACAGAATAGGAAACACCCAGGAATTTTTCTTGCCCACTAGACAACGAGTGCTCTGGCACAATCTGTCTGATGTAACAATTTGGAACTCTGAAATCTATTAAAACCCTCATCTTCCAGAGAAAGGCTTGGACAGTGAATTGTGACTAATTTCAGGTCTTAGCACAATAGCAGCCACCCATCCCCCACTGGAAATGTTTCACACATCTTACAGGACTCAGGGTGGACAAAATGGACCCTTTACTCCAAATATAGGAAATTTGTGCTCTGTTCGCTGATGGCAGATTCAAATCATAGAAATGCAGAAAAAAAGGGGTAGGCATTGTCATACTGCCTCACATTGTTGCAAGCCCCAAGCCCTAACCCCTTGCTAAAGTGATTTCCAAGAGATTTAAAGTGCAGACACCATCCTTTGCTCCCTTCAATTTTTTCTTTTTTTTTTTTCCTTTTGAAAACCAGCCATTATGATTCAAAAAAACTACTATACATTCAGAAGAGATTAGGAAAATGACTACACATGCCCAGGGGAAAGTACAGACTCAGAAAAGACCTGAGAAGACCTGAAGTTTATACTTCAGGTTGATCCTTGGCACAGAGACAGCCTACAATAATAACCAAATCAAAAAGATTTTTTTTTTAAAGAGAGAGTGTGTGTGAGAGAGAGAGAGTGAGAGAGAGAGAATTTCTTAATATTCATTTTTTAGTTTTTGGCGGACACAACATCTTTGTTTGTATGTGGTGCTGAGGATCGAACCCGGGGCGCACGCATGCCAGGCGAGCGCGCTACCGCTTGAGCCACATCCCCAGCCCAAAAGAAAGAATTTAAAAAAAAAACAATAATAAGGAACAGCAAAACATGGAGATGGGGAGGATGTGACTTGCAGAGTTATCACATAATGGGATCCAAATGTCCAGTTTTCAATGAAGAAACTCAAAATACACAATGAAATTGTAAAGTAAGTATGGACCATTCAGAAAAAAAGTAAATCAACAAAAATGCTACCTGAAAAAGACCAAATGGCACATCACTAGACAAAGCCTCTAAAACGACTATTATAAAGATGCTCAAAGAACAAAAGGAAGATGTGGAGAAAGTCAAGAAAATCAGGTATGAACAAAATGGAAATATCAATAGAGAGAAAAACCTAAAAAAGAAATTCTCACATTGAAAAGCGTAATAGCAAAAGTCAATTTTTCACTAGAGGGATTCAAAAGTAGATTTCAGCAAGCAGAAGAAAGATTCATTGGAGTTGAAGATAGGACAATGAAAATTATTGCGGCTGTAGAATAGAAATGAGATTGAAGAAAAGTGTCTAGACCCTAAGGGACCTGTGAGATAACATCAAGTGGACTGACATACATACTGTAAGATTCCCAATAGGAGAAGAGAGAGAGACATAGAATGAATATTTGAGGGAATAATGAATGGGTGAAACTTCCCAAATTTGATGAAAGACAAGAACATAAGCATGCAAGAAAGTTAATGAACTCCAGACACCCACACCAAGACACATTATAATCAAACTTTTGAAATAAAAAGAATCTTGCAAGCAGCAAGACAAAAGTGATTTGTTGCATATAAGTTGCTCATCAATTTGGAGGCCAGTAGGCTGTGGGTCAATAGAGTCAAAAGTACACAAACCCACCTGTCAACCAAGAATACTATATCTGGCAAAACTGTCCTTTAAAAGTTAAGGCGAAAAGTGGGGGCCACCCTGAAAATGGGAGGGATATCAGTGGAGTGGAGGAGGGAATTGAAGGCCAAGGGAAAGGGACAGGAAAGGGGAGGAAACCTTGGAATGAGTTTGACCAAATTATGCATGTGTGAATGGATCATGGTGAATTCCACCTTTATGTATACATATAAAGTACCAATTTATAATTGCAATAAATAGATGGGTAAAGGCCAGTAGAGGAGGAGATGGTGAGGGAGAAGGGGAGGGAGGGAGGAGGTACTAGGAACTGAAATGGAGCCAATTATATTCCAGACATGTAGGATTACATCAGACTGAACCCCACTATTATGTGTAACTAATAAGTGCATTTAAAAAAAAATTAGTGTGATATGACCATGTCTACAACTGCTAAAGCATATTGTCCTTAAAAAATAACCTCAGCCTTGCTAACAAGGGTCAAGCAAAGACCTAAAATAGACATTATTTTTTTCATTTTGAATTGATTTATCTCACACATTTGTCACAGCAATGAAAGTCTGACTAACACATAAAATTGATATTAAGAAAAAAAAGTAAAGGTGAAATTAAGGCAGTCCTAAATAATCAAAATTTGAGGGAGTTCATTATCACTAGATCTTCCCAAAAAGAGACTCCTGCAGGGAAAAAAAATGAAAGGACACCAGATAGCAACTGAATACGCTAGGAAGAAATAAAGATCACAATAAAAGTAAATATCTGCTCGATTATAGAATTAATATTACTCTACTAATACCTTGTAATTCTACTTTT